AGCAAAACTCAAATCACTGGAAATTCCAAACAGAAAGAAGGTGAGGTGATGTCCATTTGCTGCAATATATCCTAATTATCGTTTTTTTTTTTTTTCAAGAGAAATAGATTTGAAAAGATGAAGTCTAATATTGTTAATGAATACCCAATGACTATAATCATTTTAAAATTTATGAAAAATTTTGATTAAAAATTCCTTTCAACATTTCATTTTAGCATAACTCTAAGCTCATGTGGCAAGTTACAACTTCTGTTTAATCCTAATTTAAAACTAAATACATGAGTCCTTGTAATTTTTTTATTTTAGAAAATACTTCTTGAAAAAAAAAAAAAAATTGTTGTTAAAATAAGTTATTTTTATTTAAAGTTTTTTTTTTTTTTTTTTTGGTAAACGCTGTTATAACTCACGCACAGAAAAAAGCTCTTCTGAAATCCACAAACCAAAAATTTCAAAACTGACGATAGTCCTGATGATATTCTTATGAGGGGATATAATAATACTATATGCTTGAAGGCAAAAACACAAATCAACAACTTCGCGTCTTAGTGACTTTATCGCCTTGCTTAGAATGAAATGATAAAAAAAAACAAAAAAAACAGGTGATCTGCGACTTTCATTCCGTTCAGATGTAAACATGGCTTAACTTTACAAGGGAAGTTACTCTGTAGTCTATATCATTTGCTCTGTCCCAATTATTTCCCTTTGATTGTTCTCGGAATTATTTAGTTTATCTGCCACAATTCAGGTGTAAATCAAACTATACTAGTAAAACTAGTTACCAAAAATTTTTTTTTTTAAATTTCTGGCAATTAACAACATTCAAATATTTTTTAGCAATCTTGTTCTATAAATTCCAGAATCCTAATTAACAAGTCTGAAATCTTCATTATTAGGTTTGAAAATTGAATTTTTTTTCCAGAATGTTTTCTATGTTCGAAATAAACACAAGAGAAATTTGTTAAAAACCAAATAAGAAACTTTGACGAAATATTTTGTCTGCATATATTAAGTAATAATTCTCCCAAACTGATAAACTAATTGAATTTATATTAAACGGATTCTTCATAAATTCCTTTTAAAATACAGCATTCTGGTCCCTTCATAAAGACACAGAAAAATCAAATTTGAGATAAGGATTATTTAAAACTTATTACAAAATGAATCTAACCTCATTAAAAAAAAAAAAAAATATTGAAGTATTTAAGTAATTTTACAATTGATAACATATTCTGAATGGATAATCTATCCATTTTGTTGTTTCATATGGGAAAGAATTCTGATTTTAAAATAATTAAACTAAAAATGAAAAAAAAAACACAAAACAATAGAAGTAAAAAAACAATTAACAGACTGATCTCTGGTATTTACTAATGAGATTCTCACTGTCATTGCTGTACAGATTAATGCCTCCTGTTACCATAAACAGAACAAGCTATAACCCATAAAGGGAGATCAGACTGTGAGCGTGATAAATATAACAAGTTACACTGACTATATTTCTGAAATGAGGCATTATGTACACTATTTACATTATTTGGACCATTGTCCTCATATTTATTACGTTTTGGCCATTGTGCACTCTAGCCTTCTTCAGGTGGTTGGAATGTTGAACTGAACCCTTTATTTTGTTCACTGGAGTAGACTGTTCTAGTTCTATGTCAGTTATCTCTTGTTAATTCCCCTCTCCAAGTTCTCCACCACCTTAACCAGGTATTGAACTCACACTCTTTGGGGCCTGTCACTGGATCTAACTAACGCCTTTATCCACGTATCCTTGAGAATATCTGTGTATGAATTTCTGGGTATTATAAACCTAATGTCTTCAGCAACCGTTTTTTTTACCAGTTTTTTTTGCTGTTATCATTGCATGTTTTTACCAGAGCTCATATTGCAATTTTTGTTGTTATTATCACTTTTCTCTGGCACGCCATTCCTATATTGTATTCATTTCTATGCTTGGTCGGCTCAGGAGATTTTTGTGGCCTAGCGTATGTGCTGATTCCTTAAGTTTACGAATTTTCCAATGGTGTTCTTTGTCTATGATCTCAACCTGATCCCACAGAGGGCAGTGATCTCCCTTTTCTCTCCATATGTGGTCAGCCACGCCTGATTTTTCCACTTCCCTTTGTGTTACAGCTTTCTGGTGTTCTTGAAGCCTTACCTTAAGGGGGCAGCCTGTCTCCCCTTTATATTTCTTTCCACAGCTGCACAGGATAGCGTACACACAGTCTTTAGTCATGTTCTCCTCTATGGGGGGGGGTCATACTTGGGAGAGATATCTGCGAAGTGTCATTCAGCTTTTGAAGGTTGTCCTGATGTTATATGGACTGCAGATTTTGTATTTTCTGATAACCCCTTCACATAAGGCAGGCAGACTGTTTTCTGAGTGTTGTTGTCCTTCTCTTGTACCTGCCTATCCCAGTTTTTTGGGGGCTGCTGCCATGTACCTAGGGTAGTTGTTACATTGTAGGGTACTACTTATACTGACCAATTCTTTATCTAATGTCTCTGGGTCGCCACTTATGACTTTTGCTCAGTGTTGTAAGCAGCGAACGATCCCTTTCTTTATGCTGTATGGATGGTGGGAGTTGAAATTAAGATACTGTCCAGTGAATGTCAGTTTACAGTATACAGATGTCTTGAACCCATTCTGTTCGAGATATTAGAACATCCAGGAATGGGAGTGGGAATGTGTTGTTACTCTCTTTCTCCATTGTTAACGTTAACTGTATTGAAAGTTTTATTGAGTTCACATGGTCCAGTAGAACCTGAACATCTTCCTGGTGTGGCCAGAGTATGAAGGTGTCATCTACATACCTTAACCATAGAGTTGGCTTTAGAGATATAGATTCTAATGCCATTTCCTCAAAGTATTCCATGTATATATTCGCCATTGCTGGTGATAATGGCGAGCCAATTGCTAAGCCCTCATCCTGTCGATATATGTGTGATCCCATTCCAAAGTGTGTTTTTTGTGTACAGAAAGTCAACATTTCCATCAGATTATCTATTGGAATACTGGTCCATTCTTCTAGAGATGAGTCAGAGGCCAATCTGTCTCCGACTACTGAGAGTGCCTTGGTGAACAAACCACATCCAAGCTCACCATCTGGTTGGATAGGACGGGAGCATCTTTGATTATTTCCATGAAGCGGGTGGAGTTTCGGACATATGAAGGAGACTTTCCGATCAATGGGTCAATTATATCTACAAGAAAGCGATTCAGAAGGTGTCACACAGAGCCCTGGCAGCTAACAATCGGCCTGAGCAGAATACCATCTTTGTGAATCTTAGGGAAACCATATATGTAAGGTAGCTTTGTTTAACGATGTGATAACTGCCTATACGTCTTAGGTGCAAAGTGATTCTTGTTCTTGATCAGTATCTGTGACAGTTTGCGTTGTTTTCATTGTAGGATCCTTTTTTCACTTTGCTGTAGCTACTATTGCTAATAAGAAGGGAATTAACAGGAGATAACTGATAACTGACATCCATTAGACTTGGCACATGGAACTAGAACAGTCTACCCCAGTGAGCGAAATAAAGGGTTCAGTTATTATTCACATTACATCCACCTGAAGAAGGCTGGAGTGTACAATGGCCGAAATGTAATAAATATGGCGACAAAGATGAGGACAATAGTCCGAATAATGTAAATAAGTTACACTGAGTTTTATATTATACAAATATAGAAACCATAAAAAATACTTCAAGAACAGTATTAATTAATCAACATTTCATTTACAGCATGGTCCGAAAGTCTTGTCACATCTACATAATATAATTTCCTATTTCAGATGGCTGACACAAGCTCCTACAGTTTGGAAGAGAGACTGCTTACAAGTGTATCAGCAAAGCACACCTTTGTAAAAAACATGGTACATCATTTTATGCAATGAAAATGATGGTGCTCCTACAGAACTTATCGATGTGTGACAGCATCAATGAAAATTATTAAAATGAATCCAGTACATGTGCTTTGTATTACAGTATTAATTTTTCTTCTATTATTCTCATTACCTTTTTTGGGTGGGGAGGGGATACAAGACTTTCAGACCACCCTGTACATTGATTCTTGATCTTGAAAAAAAAAAAAAAAAAAAATAAAAATAAACCACTTTGTTTCCCCCCAGCCCAAAGAAAAAAATGCAACAACCCACATGTATTACTTATTAACAATCACTTTTTAACTTGGATTGTCCTGAATAAAAAGCAAACACATGTTTAAATAAATAAAAATTTAATATCTGAATAATTTTCAAATATCTGTCCAATTAAAGTCTTTATTCCCCCAGTTTAAATTTGCCATTGTTTTTAGATGTTTTCCCCCTCCATTTACATATGAGCCCCTTCTCTTTACCCACATTCACAGTCTATGCAATTGATTGTTTGACTCTCAAGGAATTTACCAAATCCAGAATTATGTCAGCTGCTACAAAATGTATAAATACTACATGCATCCATATCCATGGAGAGAAGAACAATGTAGAATTCTTGGTTAGTATGGATGATTTTTTTTCTTTCTTTTAGTGTGTGTATGTGTGTGTTTTAAGAGAGAGAAAGCAAAAAAATGTACAGTCATAAGAAAGTGGCAGACAGCTGAAGGAAGGGTCAGTCAATCGATCAGAGAAGACAAGCCCCAAAATGCAAACCCTACCCAACTTCACCCATCCACCTTAGCAAACCAATACAAGGGAGCAGAAGAGAAGTGGGAGGGTCAGTAGCTGTGCTTGAGCAGCTCAGTATGAGAACATCCAATCAAAATGTTGGAATGTAAAATGTCCTGAAACTGGAACCAAGACAAAAAAAAAAAAAAGTACCAAGTGGTTCCAATTCCTTAGACTGGGAGAAGACAGATCACCAGGTTCTCCTGGCAAAAGCCCAGGTAAAAGGCCAACAGTTTTCAGAGAACTGCTCTTTGTCATCAAAAACTGGATGGTCTCTAGAACACCAATGAGGGTCCATCATGTCTTAGCCAGATAATGAAAACATGGTAAACATCATTGAGGTTGGTTGCCCCAATTAAATCCTCCAGGTCGGTCTTCAGGGAGTGGCTGATAGTTGGGATCCTCTGGGGCTGCATCCATTATGGTTTTGCTAGAAAATACAAAGAGCTATAATGTACATATGCAACAATGAAAACAGAATTATTTTTATTTTATAAACTCAATTACTAAAATTTTACTCTGACTCATTTTAACAAATTTCTTTATAGAAGTGTTGTTTTTTGTTTTTTTATTTAAGCACTATAATTTTATTGTTCGAATATATTTTTACATTATCACTTACACACATACTCTTCTCAAATAAAGATTATAAATTTTCATACTTTGTATGCTAAACATAAACTTTAATATTTGTTTATTCAAAGCAATGAGTGAAACTGATTTTTATAAATACTTACAGGAATTGTGGAGTTCGCAAAATCTTGAACCCACCCACTTGGTGGGGAAAAACATCTTCAAGGTAATAATACAAATGGCCGACAAGGATTCCTGATAAGAAAGAGTTTAACATTTTTTTTTATTCCTACCACTGCACAAAGCATGAAAAATATATTAGATACTAACAATATAAATAATTGATTCTTATCCAATTGATTGATCAATTTTATCAAACGTTTGCACATTATTTAAAGCAGAGACTCTTATAGAAGCATTTAACAATAACAGGTTTAAAAATAAATCTAAAAAAATGGCAACAAAAGCATTTGAAATGATTACAAATGAATCTAGCCAAACTATTGAATTTTTCTCAAATTTAAACTTAAAAATAAAGGAAAATACAGTTCTGAAATATTCAAACCAAGAAAAAGATTTTAAAATAATCTTTAAAATAATCAACAAGATTTTATTCATAAAATAAAAAATAAAACCAAGAAAAATGGAATTAAAATTAACATTATACTTTAAATATATATATGTGTATGTGTGTGTGTGTGTGCATGTAAATTCAGATATAAATAAAAAATATATCTAAAAAAAGACTTTGAATAAAGATAAGTCAAAGTTTTTCTTTGGTCTCTATTTTTAATGAGTACACATATGTGAAGTGGTATCACTTCTTTTTTTTTTTTTCTTGAACAGTGAAATTAATACCAACAGCTGAAATGAAGAAATACTACTAACGAAATATATATATATATATTATATATGAAATGGATTAAGCCATACAATTGTTTTAATATATTTTCTGATTATACATTATTTTTAGATAAAACATTTAAGTAAATGCTCTGTTTATAATAAACAGTATTAACTACATTTAATGTCATGAATGTCCAAGAAAATTTCATAGAAAATGTCTGTTCCAACAGGAATCGAACCTGTATCCTACATGGAACTGTCATATAGCCTGACATGCTTGCCAAATACTTCCTCTGTAGCTAAATAGTATAGCACGTCAGGCTATATGACAGTCCCATGTAGGATACAAGTTTGATTCCTGTCAGAGGACACATATTTTCTATGAAATTTCCTGGACATTCAGGCCAGTAAATGTTGTTTATACTGTTTATTATAAACAGAGTATTACTTAAATATTTGTATCTATAAAAATAATGTATAAACAGAAAATTAATATATAAATTAGTGTAAGATTATGTCTTTTAGAATGTATTAAAACAAATGTGACAAACGTGTGACTAAGTTTCACAGTCAAATCAAGTATGCAATATAATTCATTTGCGCTTCAATAAAACCAATTGTCTGACACTTAAAATGAAGTCAACATGATTGGGTTTTTTTTAATGCATTCATATATACAGCCAACAACTACTACCCTCCCTCCTCCCATGAGACAGAAACAGAAGCAATTGTTGTCTAACAATAAATTGTATTTAATTAAAGTTGTATTACATTTCAGTTAAATTATTATCTATCTCGTGTGCATATCTTTGTCATAAAACATGAAGAAAAAAAATGACAATACAATGACACCTAAATCTCCATACTTACCCATGAGATCAACAGCAACAGAGTTACCCAGCAGTAGAGAGAAAGCAAGCAACACCCAAGGTAGATATGGAGCCTGAAAGTTGAGCAGTCCAAAGAAGTTCATCCTAACATAGGGATTTCTTCGGCTCCAAATGTACACAAGCATTATGGTGAAAGCATTACCAAGGAAAGCAATATTACCTATGAGGATGGTGATGAGCTAAGATAAATCTATTGAGGAAAAAAATCATTTGACATGAGTATACATACAAATCAAGTACATGCCTCTTCCGTATGAAAAGATGATTAAGTGCCAACTGCTCAATTCTATACACTGACATAGTGGCTTCAACAAAAAGGTTTCAGCTGAACAGATTTATAGATTGCAATAGCCTGGACAATTATTCCACAATTCTAAATTTGAACATTCCTTCTTCACTTAGAATAAAGAGAGTGGAAGGGGTGCTCAGTCAAACTGAAATTTACTAATCAGGACCCCAAACTTACACACCTCCCACCAACCAAATATCATCCAGGAACCACTCCAAAAACACAAATTTAATCAATCTGAAGAAAGAAAAAAATTAAAATCTATCCAGATATAAAAAAAAAATCTTTTTCTTTTTAAACTTTATTATTGTTAATAGTTATTGGTAGGATAATAAAAACATTAAAATGCTTAGGAAATAAATTTAAAAAATATACAATACTAAAGTTTTAAAAATGAATAAATACAAAAAACAAATTCCTTAAATTTCACAGTAATTTTTATAAAAATTAAAACTATTATCATTATTATTATTTAATCATTTTAGTTGAACAATTTTACACAAAAATATTCTGGTTAATTTTCATGCTCAGAGCAACTTTTATCTAACCTTAGGAATTTTACTTTATGCATTCATTTTGTATATAAAGAAAATCATTATTCAAAATATTCATAATCAAAAATGTTTTAGTCTTTATTAAAAAGTTTTCATTTAAAATTACCTGCCTTGCTCCAAGACTAAATTTTGCATATTTGTTAATCATTTTTTATTAGGACTTACATAAATAGCAGATTATAGAATTTAATAGCCAACATCTTCAATCAGACACTTGAAATATCATGGGAATGTATTGTCTCATATAAAACATACAATAAAACTTCACATGATAAATTCAGATTGGCAAATACTATTTAACCAAATAGTACCATTAAAAACAGATTAAAAATATTTAAAAATCTATACCAAAGTACAACAAAGCTTTTTACTCCAACTGTAGAACTTCAGGAAATATAGAATTTGTTTAGATAACTAATTTTATTTTTGGTTAAAAACATGACATTTCCTTAGGCTCCAACATTTCAAGAGATTTGACTAAAAATATGAAAACTTGATCTAAGAATAATTTTTGAGAAAAATATACAAATTAAAATTTTCAAAATGTTATTTTATAACTAATCTAGACAACTATCTAGATTTTTTCTGGTTTGAAGGCTACCCTAAACTGTGTGTGTGTGTGTGTGTGTGTGTGTGTGTATAGTAAAACCTCGAATTAACAGTCCCAGAACCAACAGACTCCAGTTTTAACTTTAAAACTATTCAAACTTTATTTAAAGGTATATATTAACTTAAAAATAAAATACATATATTCTGTATTTACATTTATTTACAATACTTTTGTACCGTACTGGGTGTTTTTAGGTCACAAAAAAGTGCTTCAAATTAACAGACAAATGGTTTTAACGGAAATCCCCTTATTAGTCTATTAAATTAAGGTTCTATTGTATGTATATATATTTTACTAGCAGTAGAGCCCGGCGTTGCCCGGGGATGTAACAGTAAGAGATAGATCAAGTATCGACCATCATAAAGACTGAAAAATAAAATTGACAAAGATTATTGTTTAAGGTTGACAGACATGCATGTCTTAATTAGTTTTGTTTTTTTTTGTTTTTTTTTTACGAATTGGTCAAACCCAAACTCAAACAAAAACATTGTTTTCAATCGTTATGAGTCTACCGATTGAATTGTCTTGTAAATGGAATTTTTAAAGCATTCTGAATGTAAAAATAAAGAAAAAAATGTGCAAGACAATAAGAAACACTATCTGCCAAAAAAAAAAAAAAGTGAAGTTTTGTTGAAATCGGTTGAAAAATGTAGGAAATCCGATCCCATATATAAATGAACACACACACACAAACAACCTGGGTTTTATAATAAGTATAACTCGATACGAGTTGTCCCCCTTTCATTCTTGAAAGCGATGCCTCTTAATTGTGTTTTCAAATTGATTTTGTGCAAAAACAATTGTTATCCAATTTTTGGCACTGTCAGAACCACCGCAAGGTAATTTCACGTAGTCCTGTGAAGTTTTGTTGAAATCGGTTGAAAAATGTAGAAAATCCAATCCAATATATAAACGTACAGACACACACACATACAACCTGGGTTTTATAATAAGTATGATTTATTTTAGGATATTAAAACATTAAAAAAAAAAAAAAAATCACTATTGGATGATCAAACATATACCCTCATCTATATAACGTAGGATCAACAACTCATCAGAAAAAGATGTGTTTGATAAATATAGTGGTGTTTATAATACTGCTTTAAAAAATACTGGTTACAAATACACTGAAATCATGGATAGAAAACATGATAATATTGATCTAAGGAAAAGAAATAAGAAAATTATTTGGTATACAACCCCATTTAACCAATCAGTCAGTACTAAGGTCAGAAGTCCCTCCATTTAATTGATAAACATTTCCCTAAAAGTAACCTTCTTCATAAAATATTTAATAGAAACACACTAAAACTAAGTTATAGCTGCACTGATAATCTTGAGGAGATTATGAAGAAGCATAATAATAAAATTATAAACCAATTTTAAAATTTGGATAATACATATCCCAAGATAAATACATTTAATGATATTAACCAATGTAATTGCAAGGATTCCAGCGAATGCCCATTACAAAATCAATTTTTATCCAAGTAGTATTTCTACAACAACTGTTGGAAATTTTTATATTGGTAGTACTAAAAATTCTTTTAAAACTAGATGGTATCAGCATGTCTTATCTTTCACCAACAGTACTTATAAAAATAGTACATCTCTATCTAAATATTTTTGAAATTTAAATTTAAAAGCTAATAAAACTCCTAAGGTAAAATGGAAAATTTTAAAAAAAAAGCTAGTACTTGTAGGTCTTTAAATGAACCCTGTTTCCTATGTTTACATGAAAAATTAGAAATTATCTGATTTTTTTATAAAAACTCCTTATTAAACCAAAGAAGTGAACTGACTAAATTGTAAGCATAGCCTGCAAATTCAAAGTTTAAGCATATTGTAAGGTAAAAACCTTACAATATGCTTAAACTTTGAATTTAAAAATACTTTTTCTTATAATGATAATCAGTAGATGAACTGTTGTACACCTTATATGGTATTCTATTCTATTTGTATGCTTCATTTTGATTTAATATTGCTTTGTATTACTATTTGATTAGTATTAACTTATATGAATGTACTGATGTTTGGTTGGCATTATTAACATCTTATAAGGATGCTCTTAATGTAACAGTTGCATATTAATTTGCTAAAGTAGTTCTGTATATTTTATCCATTTTTTTTGCTTTTTTTCAAACAGTTAAGTTATTTGCTAGTTTCTTAAAAGGGTCTTCTATTTATCAACAAAAATTTATGTAAGAAGCTGAACGGACATATAACCTACTACAGTATGTTAAAGTACCTCCCCATCTATTTCACTTTTGCTTCTTGGTAAGTTTTAGCATCTGGTTTCTCTACATCTTACAAAACAATGTAACAGTCTGTACCGGCTCATAAGGAAATTGTCTAGGTTTTTATATGCAGGCAACTTCATGTCATGACATATATTAAATCCCCACCACCCGGTGAATTTGAATTTAGCATAGGTTACATTTGATTGGTTAATCATGGCAAAGCACACAAGTCTATTTTTTTTTTTAAAGTATTCTGCTTTTTGAAATCAAATAAAACTTAAGAGACACATTTATGGTGTTGAAACATAATTGTAATTTTTATAACATGTTTTAATATCGTAAAATAAATAATATTTTGCTCTACTATGTAGTGAGCCCTCTTAAATGTTACGTACAGTGGAATCATACTCCATTTGTTCTCATTTTACCTATATATATATATATATATATATATATATATCTTTTAGGGAAAAAATGTTTAACAAAATGGAAAAAGATTGTGTGTGACATGTTTCATCCTTTAGGACTTTATCAAACGAAAGTGATGTTTACATTGATGCAATTACACATGCACACGAAGGAGACAGGATGCTAAGAATTTTAAATTAAAATTCTGTTTTTTCTTTTACCCTCTAAAATTGTTCTTAATTTATAAAATTCATAAATGTATATATAAATAAATATGCATTTCTTCAGCAGTAGGAGTTTCCTGCTTAATGTAATCTTCAGGTCCTCAGTTAAGACTCAATCCTGAAGATTGCATTGTGCTACTGATTAAGAAAAAAATCTATATTTACTAATATATACTTTATAACTGTTTAATATTACACTGAGCACTGTTTTATAAACATATAGAAGCATACAATATAACCAGTTTTGCAATATTTTCTTATACCGTAGATTGGAGAGTGTCATTTAGCTTAGTCTGTTCTGTAGAGCGTCTTATTGAAACTAAAATGGCAGAAGAAATTGATGTCACTCTCTTTATAACCATTTATTTCCAGTAAATAGCAATTTCTTGTTTTTGCCAAAATATGCCAGCACAGACAAGCAACAATACAACAGTGAAAGTGTTAATCAATTCCTTGAGGTTTTTGTTAGCTAAACTAAAGCCTGATAATAAGGAAAAATATTCATCTTTAATTTCATTAATATGAAATGATGCTTAAAAAAAAAAAAAAACGTAATTTGTTAAATAAACGAGTTCAACAATTTCTTAAAATATCCAACAACAAACAGTAACTTCTTCAAACTATTTGTTTTACTGAATAACTGTTCTCATTAGGAAATTAAAGTTGTAACAGTTTTCATATCTACATTAATTCCCTGCTTTCATTCTCCTGTCAATCAAAAATGATTGGAATTATAAAATGCTTCAGTATTTTATCATAAATTAACAGAACCTTTTTCTTATTGGAATCTTTCTTTTTATATTCTTGCAAAACAACAACACTGCAAGTCTTTATAATTATTTCCATTTTAATGCAAATAAATCTGAAGTATTTAAAAGTAAAATTTCCCTCTGAAGATTCACATGAAAAATGGTAGAAAAGGATACAATCATGATAAAACCTCCAAAGAGGAACATGAAAAAGAAATCAGATGTGCGGCCACGAAAGGAACCTTCTTCCAGCATACGACAATAACGATAGGCAAAGATTATATTAAAAATAAAATTAAATCCTATTGGTCCAAAATACATGAAGTTTGTAACAAGCCGCCAGATCTGAAAGGAAAAGATCAAGAAAAATCTTAACAAAATACTGAAATTGTAAAATGTTCACATCTGGACCAAAAAAACAAATTTATCACAAGAAAAAAAAATGGTCAGCTTTTACTTTTTATATATTGGAATATTTAGTGACATTTCTTTGTTAATAATGAAATCTAATGCCCAATTGAAATGGAAAGAGATTAGGTTACACCTGGTATTAATTGATGCATACTTCATGAAAGTCTTTGTATGTAAATCAATTTTCCCTGTACTATGAAAAAAAACTGAAATTTGTTGAAATCATTTTTACAAATTTAAAAAAAAATACAATAAACTATAAACAGGTAATTGTTTTAAACTACAGTGTATGTGGTACTTATTTCAAAGTCACATCTGAATTTGTCAACTTGCAAAGTGAGCATGGGGTTGTTTTGTTAGAGCTGTTTGGAATTGATATGGTAAGTGGTTTGAGAAATGGGTTTCTAGGTGTCTTCTGTTGTGCTTTGTTTTGTTTTCTTGAAAACAATGTCAAATAAGTGCTGCCAAAATATAAGACTACATTATAAAATACAATAAATCAATGACAATTTTGATAAACACTTGAGAGAAACTAAACTCTTCTTTTACAGTTTAGGTAGGTTTCTCTTTAATCATTGGTTATGCCTATGTCATTTTTATAGACAATCCAACAGTGGAAACTTCACTTGACTTTGATGTAATTGTTAGCTTGCATTACAGGAATTTAGCTGTTAGGTGCTACTATAGTATGATATCTACTGAGGCATTTGTGACCTACCGTAAATGACAATGCACTCTACCAAACAACCCACTTCCGGCCTACAGTAATTAATTCCTCAAACTACATATAGTGTTATTTTAATCTAAAGAGTGGGGCATTTATCTAATTTGTATTCATAAATGAGGTATTTATGTAATTCCATCACAAAATGTGTGAAATTTTAGAATTAGTGTATTATTTTGTTCACAAAATCCCAATGAATACTACAGTAACTTTTACTGGAAAGTCACCTAATATTATAACTGACTGGTATAAATTTTACACTACAAACTGTTTATTATACGCCTTTAATGGTTTTTAATATATTTCATACTTCCAACAGCTGGTAGATATCATACTATAGTAGGAAATGGATGGTAGATATCATACCATAGTAGGAAATGGATGGTAGATATCATACCATAGTAGGAAATGGATGGTAGATATCATACCATAGTAGGAAATGGATGGTAGATATCATACCATAGTAGCACTAGTATTTTGTCTTTTGTCTATCAACCATGCTACATGGCAAACAGTTGTCAGAATTTGAGAAAGTACAGATTATTGTGTTGAAGAGAGAACAGATGAGTCACTGTAAAACAGCATCACCACTCCATCATTCAAAGACTGCAGTTACCAAAGTTTTGACAAATCTAGACAATTATGGAGTGAAAAGAATATCTGGAAGAAAGAAAAGGCAACTCTGTAACATCATGGGCAAAGACTCAGCATTCTCTGCAATTTGATGTGTCATGATAAGCTGCCAGGAGAAAGCTAAAGAAGTCACCCAACCTAAGATTCTCTAGGCCAAGAACAGCACCATGTCCAACAAAACTCCAAAAGCAACAATGACAATTAGGCAAAAGAACACACATGAAGAAAGAGTGGAAGTTTGCTGTATGGGCAAATGGAAAAAAAAAAAAAAAAGTTAAATTTGGATGGTCCTGATGGACTTGCATTCTATTGGCATGATTTGGACAAAAAGGACTGTGTCTTCTTACCATGTTCAAGGTGCTGGAAATGTAAGGGTTTGGACAGCTTTTGAACCATAAGAAAAAATACTCATAGCCTTTACCAGTGCTCAGCCTCAATGCTACCATATATATATATATATATATATATATTTTTTTTTTGGTATAATAGTGCTTTTCTTCCTTAGATAAAAAAATTGCTGGTGCCAACTGGAGGTCCCAACCAAACAATGCTACAATCCATCAGTTGGCACTCATGTTCTCCTGATTTCTATCCAATTGAAAACCCGTCAGATATCCTTGCTTGTAAGCTGTAAAAGGGTGGGTGACAATACCATTCAACCAAAGAACTGAAAAATTTATACAGAATGTATGGGCTTCAACAGGCAATGTTCAATTGTGTAGACTGGTAGAGACTTTACCAAAATGCAATTTTAAGGTTACTTATCATCAGTTACTAAAAATAAAGATTTCTTTGACATTCTGTGAGTAGTCTTAAAATTTCAAAAGAGCTTTTTTAGGTCTTTTTTAAGTTTAAAAAAAAAGTATTTTTCAAAATTTCTACTGATAATATAGTGCCAATCAGCTAAATTCAACCTTCATAAGTTGAAAGTTCAACTGGTCTTTTAAATATATGCCACACTGTACTTCCCATGGCTTTAGAAAAGATTCTATTTGAAAAGCCCTGCCAATTTTCTTTTGACTTGACCATCATATTTTGCATATACTTATGTAAGAAAAGTCAATCTTCTGTACAAAGGATTAATTTGTATATAACATTCATAACTCATGAATATTTTTCATATATGAAGCTAACAGCTACTTCAAGACTTTTCCATCATGCAGATTTCAACATTATTATTATTATCTATTATTATTTTAAGCTTAAGAATTTAGTCTCAATCTGTAGACAAACATTTACAACAGTTTAACATAGAACAACAATAGCCTTACATTGATTTGAATGATCAAAGTGAAGTAAATGAAGATACTTATTTTTTGTTGAGGAAAAAAGTTTTAGGACATGAAGTTAAAATTTACAAGTAATTTTTTTTTTTTTTTGTGGGTAGCTAATATACCAGATTGCCTGTCCTATAATTAAAATACACAGATGGTTAACAACCCTGCAGAACAAAATTTATCCTATCAAAGTATCAAAAGTACTCTAATGGGTAAATAGCCAGCTAATGAGAGGTGGGACCATCAATAAATTCATCATGGAGATGGTAATGGGAAACCATTCCCCTATCATTCCCAAAGTACTGACTAAACCAAACCAAAAATTACCACCACTTGTACTGTAACAAAATTGACTGTCTAAAAAATTAAAAAAAGAAACAGTCCCGGCTAGCAAACAGTGAGGGTCCAATTCTACACCACAAGAATGCATGCCATCACACATCATGATCCATCATTCAAAAAGTTTCAAAAACATTGGTTATGCAATTTTGGAGCACCCACCTTATTAAACATACCATTTCTCCCACAAATTATTACTTAATTTAAACACTTTGAGTTTTCCCTATGCAATAAAAGATTCTCTTACACTGAAGAAGTAGTCAAAGTATTTTGATTAAATGAAAATGTTTTATTTTGTTTGTTTTTTGCCATTCATCAAAATATGATATTCAATATGATTAACAAAAATCAGTGATTTATTTTGCCAAAGAAAACACACTGACTTTGTCAAAGGTGTTGGGAATAGGTATGGGAATGTTAGTCCCAAGATCAATGAGAAAAAAAATGTTAAAAGGGAAATAAGAAAATAAACTTACATGATATTTCTTAAAAATCAAATCTGGATTGAAATATAACTGGAATGGTGTTATAATGTCCAGTTTCTAAAATTAACAAAAATATCAACAAATAAATAAAAACACCAAAAATAAATTACACAAACACAATAAAAAAGTAAATCCAACAAAAAAATTTTTATTTGATATTTAATATATATATATATATATATACAGTGGGTAGCAAAAGTATTTAACACATTGGTTTTTCTTACATATCTCAAAAAATAACAGATCAATTTCAACGAAACTTATAGGAAATATTTAAACGAACATTGTCGATCAAAACATAGAAGGAAAATTTAAAACCACTGTTTTGAGAAACGTTTATTAACAATAAATAAAATAACCCATATGCAAAAGTATTTAACACCAATGTAAATATTATGCTAGAAGAGACGTGTCATCAGGATTCCTACCCATATTGATATGATGTGATATGTTGACCAATGACAGCACTGCACGACACTCAACTGGCTATTAGATAACAGCTCTGAGACACTGCAGCTATTCTGTTGCCACTACTGCAAGAAAATGGTGAAAACAAAAGAATTGTCGAACGACATGCGCAAAATCATAAAGAATCACAAAGATGGTAAGGGATATAGAAAAATCACTCAAGATTTGAATTTGCTTGTGAGTACAGTTGGTGCTGTTGTTCGAAAATGGAAAAAATTCAATACTATTGAAAACATTCAAAGGAGTGGTTGTCCCCGTATCTTAAATGAGGCTAATGAGCGATACATTTCCCATACTGTGAAGAAAAATCCATTTTCAACTCATCAAGAAATTCAGAATGATTTGAAAAATGCCAAAATTGAAGTTAGTAAAGATACAATTAAGGATCACTGAATGGTGCAGGTCTCACTTCAAGATCACAGAGAAAGACTCCATTACTGAAACGCTGACATGTACAAGCCCGTTTGAATTTTGTAAAGAAATATAAATTGAATCTAATGATTTCTGGGAGAAAGTAATTTGGTCAGACGAAACGAAAATTGAGCTTTACGGATGAAACATGCACACTCATGTATAGAGGGAAAAAGGAGTGGAATACGAGCCAGCAAATACCATCCCTACAGTCAAACATGGGGGTAGAAATATTATGATGTGGGGTTGTTTTTCCTCAAATGGAGTAGGAAAAATGAAAATCATCGAAGGAACAATGAATGCTGCAAAATACACTCAAATTTTGTCAACTCAACTCTTGAACAGTGCCACATCTTTGGGACATGGTCGTGATTTTGGATTTCAGCAAGACAATGACCCGAAGCATACTGCTAAAACAACTAAGAATTGGTTTAATAATAATGATATTAATGTCCTGGAATGGCCAAGCCAGTCACCGGATTTAAATCCAATAGAAAATTTGTAGAAACTATTGAAGTTACGAGTTCATAAAAGAAATCCATCGAATTTAAACAAATTGAAGAAAATTTGTAAAGAAGAATGGGTCAAAATACCAACAAGTACCTGCAAGAAACTAGTTGAAGACTACAGGAAATGATTGGAGGCTGTGAAGCAGAACAGAGGCTACTGTACTAAATATTAGTAAAGTGTGTTAAATACTTTTGCATATGGGTTATTTTATTTATTGTTAATAAACGTTTCTCAAAACAGTGGTTTTAAATTTTCCTTCTATGTTTTGATCGACAATGTTCGTTTAAATATTTCCTTTCAGTTTCGTTGAAATTGATCTGTTATTTTTTGAGATATGTAAGAAAAACCAATGTGTTAAATATTTTTGCTACCCACTGTATATCATTGAATTCTAATCAAGTTTGATTGTGAATATTTTTTAAAGCAAAAGCATTTTTTTTAAATCAAATTCATTGATTTCAATTTGATTTTTGTAGTGAGTAGTAATAAGTTTGTTTTTTTTGTTATTACTGCTGACTACAAAAATCAATTTCAAGTTAGTTACAAGATTAAACATTAAAAAACTTTCTTCAACAATCAGTACAAAAAGTACTTCATCAAAAATCAAGTTAGAGAATTCAAAACATGATATTAACAATGCACCACTGATATTTCAGTATAAAGAAATGATAAACATGAATTTTGTGAAAATTGACACTATTTACATTGTTCAGACAGTTCTTCTCATCTTTGTTGTCATATTCACAACATTTTGGCTGTTGTACACTTCAGCCTTCTTTAGGTGATAAACATTGGAGTTTTGAACTGAACCCTTTATTTATTCATAACTAGCTTAAAAGCTGCCCTATCAAACGGCATTTAAGATAGCTCCTGTGGAGGGCTCTTTATTGGGCCTGCATCACAATAGGTAGGGAGGAGTAGATGCAATAGGCAACAAAGTACAGAAGAACTCATCACTGCATTAATATTTAAGCTTACCTTTTAAAAGTTTAATGATAATTCTTCTCCACCACTTAATTTAAAGACAATTTCATGTACATAGGTCCTTACTTTCCATACAAACAATTATCTTTATTTCATGAATGACTTTCACTGGATTTCACAATTAATTTCAATTATTTGCAAATTTGTTTCCAAGTTATAAAAAGTGTTATCATACAAAAAAATTTGTCACAAAAAAAAAAAAAACAAAGAAAAAAAACAAGATAATACTAAAGAGATATCTCTTACACTTGCAAAACAAAAAAAAAAAAGAAAAGACAGAAAAAAGTAATATGGACATCATATTTAGAGTGGGAAAGTTCAATTTTATTAGCAAATTATTATACACAGAAATTACATAAAAACAGATAGGAACAAATTAATTTCTTTTCCTAACCTAATGAATTGGTGTGCCTAAATTTGTGCATCTGAACAAAAATAGAAGGAAAGCTATTAACTATCATGTTTATTCTGTTTACAATCATTTAAACTGCACATTCCTTCTTGTCTTTTTACTTGCATAAGATTGAAGAAATGAAGCAAAACTTGGTTCATTTAAACACAAATTGATACATACACAGAATAGGCAAATGGCAGCAACTCCACTGAGGATTTTTTTTTATTAAATTGTATAAGCTAGAATCCAAACTGATGTCTCTAAATCTTGACACAAACATCAAAGAACTAAATATGTTGGTTGATTTTGTTTAGCAGCATACCAACCTCTATAAGTTATTTAATGGTTAAATCTAAATATTTTGAACAAAATTGTATGTTTTTAACTACAGATGAAATGTATTGTTGGTCATTTTACTATAAAAATGTAATTTTACACTTTCATTGTGTTTTGCTTTTGTTTGAGGGTTCAGTATTTGCTACCACCTCTGATCAGGGTGGACCTGAGAACAACAGCAATTAAAGGTGGTTCCACGCTCCTCAAAACCTATCTCCCGATCAGAGGTCTTGCTGCCAGATGTAGTTAAGAACTAAATAATATAATCATATCTTCTTTTCGCTGAAGCACGTAAGACCATAGTTAAAGATCTTCCTGTAGGATAACAATCCTGAGTTTAAAGATTGAGAGAAGAAAGTAACAAACAGAGGAGACAGAAAAAACATTGGAAGGAAGAACATTAAACAATTAAAAGAAAATTAGTTCATGCTCTGAGAAACTAATAGTTTCAGACAATTTAAATCCAAATTAATGAAGCCAAACAGCATGAAATCTGGAGAAAAGCAACAACAAAAAAAAAAAAAATCATGATCATACAATCAAAACCAAAACAGAAAAAAATGTCCTGGTCTCAAAATATACTCAAAAAATCACATTTCAATAATGACCACACAAATCTAAAGATGCCTGAGAAAATAGAATTTACATCAGTATGTCTCCAAACTTAAACAACAAACCTAGTGATGAGGAAGTCAAGGAAGCTATAAAAAAAATAAAAGAATAATAAAGGCTCACTTGACATCAAGGCTGACCCTTTGAAAATAATATAGTCTCTCCCTAAATTCAAAAACAATTTTTTTAGTTTCATAAAGTCTGGAATCAAAAGCACATCACAAAGTAATGGGGTATATTGTGCATTAATACACTGTGGAAACAAAAAAGTAGTCTTAAAGACCCTCAAATGTATAAGGGTATATCAGTTAAATGTAGTATGGTGAAAGTACTAATGAATATTGTAGTAACTCAAAATTGATCACTGCATTTAAGTACTGCATTAATATTTAAGCTTACCTTTTAAAAGCTTAATGATAATTCTTCTCTACCACTTAATTTAAAAACAATTTCATGTACATAGATCCTTACTTTTCTCACTGTTCTATGAAAGTCAACTAAGAACCCAATTTGGTTTTCATTATCATAAGAAATATAATGATGACATATAAATACTCAAGCAACTCCAGGAAATTGCATACCTATCAAATAGATAATTGTATACTTGATATGTTGACCTCGCACCAGCATCTAACCAAATGAATAAAGACTTTCTCATCTCATCCATTAGAAACTATTTTCCAAGCTCTGACTCCACTGCCTGGATAGAGGTAATATAATAGTCCATAATATTAGACATGTCTGGCAAAGGGCTCAATACCAAATCATTTCAAATCTTATCAAGAGTATAACAAGGAGGAAATGAAAGCCAAAACCTATTTAATCTTCCTAGACTATGCCATGCACAGATGTGAAGAGATGGGCACTAATCATTTAAGGATTCCATACATCCCAAACATCCCTTCTATTAATAGAAGACATCAATCCTGTTTTATCTCCTGAGGCCAATGTGCTGATGATGATGATGGGGGGAGGGCTATGCCGATGATATAGGTATTCATAGTTGGTACAAGAAGAATCTTTAAAAATCAATTTTTTTTAAAAATCAAATTCTCTACCAAATGTTCTAAGAAGTGGGACTGGAGATAAACCTTTCCAAAACATAAACTATGATTTGGAATTGGAATGAAAGCAGTGGGGCATATATCCTGAATCCATCATAAAAATTCAGGATGTGGAATTAATAAATACAAAACACATCAAATACCTCAGTGTATGGATCAATGATGACAAATTTAGTGAAAGAGAGATAAGAAAATTGATCACAGAATAGGCTGTGCAAAGAGTAGTTTCCCCCAACACAACAAAACCAAAACATTAACCTAAGAACATAAGTCATATT